GCAAATTTAACATCTGCTATTATGTTGCATTTTTATGCTAAATAAGGTAACAGGCTTGATGTCTTTTGTAGACACTAATAATTATACAATATAATAAATGAAATTTAATAAATAAAAATCATTTAATAATAATTTTTATCTAAAACATATTATAAAAAGTGTTTTTATGACTTAGAAAGATTTAATATATATTGTATTAAATTTAATTAAAATAATAAAAAAACAAAATGAATTATAATTAGTTTTTATATTAAATCTAAAATTCATTTACCGTAAAACTCGAATTTTTAAAAAATAGCAACTCAACTTAAAATTAAAGAATGAAACAACTTGAGTCTGTTTTTATTAAAAATGTAGTACTTTACCTTCAAACCTCTTCTGATATTTGTTCCTTCGTATTAATCAACAAAAAGTATTGTGAGTCAATCCAGTCAATGTACTGTGCCTCGTACAATTTATGCAGAAACACTCCACTTCCAAAAATACAGCAATACTTCCCAAACATTCAAACGATATATATAGAAGCCATTACTTCAGAAAGTGCCAAAATCGGCCCTAGCTTCAAGCCTTATATTGATTTGAATATTTCTAAACGTGTACTAAAAAATGATTTCAATCACAATTTAGTGAAAAATTTAGATAATATTTCGGACTATGCAAAGAATATCAGGAAATTAAAAATCGAAGGATACATGTTATTTATAATAGCAGTAAACAACAATGAGTTTGTCGAACTAAAAAATTTAGTTATACACTCTTTAGATGATTGTTCTTTACTCGAAAAAGTTCTGTGTATCCCATCATTGCGTGACGTCACAATTTATTTTAGTCAAACTGTTGTGCACAAACTCGCCGATTTTGACTTCCAAAAGTACAATAAAATTTCATTTACTTTTGTCTTTCAAAATAAATCTCAGTTACTAAAGAAAAAACAGATAGACGGTGCAAAGAGACTTGCCAAAAAGTATCCTCTTTATATGCAAATGCTTACTAAAGAAACAGTTAACATGAAATTCATCCCAGACATCCAAATGGCATATCCATCCTTTGAAAAACGTCTGACTGTGTCCATTTCAAGTGACATGTCTGGCAAAGAGAACTTTATAGAAGAAGTGATGAAGAAGTGTATGTGTAGTCGTTTAGACATTTCTCCACTCAGTAACAGTAAAGAAATAGACGATCAACGTTACAGGAAAATCGCCACATTTGACTTTTTAAAGAGTGAAATAATCAATGAAGTCGTGTTGAAGCAGATCAACTGCAAAAGTGTTGTTCTGCCTCAAAAATGTCGAGCGTTTGAAATCATTGATTGCGAAGGAAATGTGTGTGCGGAGCAGTGCTACCCCGAGGAAGTGTATATTGATCAATTTGAGCGTGAAACCATCACTATTAATGAAGACAAGTTAAAAGGTGTGTGCATCAACGCGTATATCAGAAATTACAATTTTGTGTGTAAAGGGCAAAAAGGTATAATTTTAATTGATTTCAAAAAAGTCGACTTCTTCGACATCCGCAATGAAAATATTAATATCGGTTTAATGTATGGAGACACTTTAATTTCTAAAATCCGTGTTGATGGAATTATAATTAATTTAAAAAAATTGGAGATTATCAATTGTGTGAGTGATGTTATGTTGGAGGGAATCACTTTGGAGGAAGTAACATTTTCTAATACAAGGAAAGAAACTGCGTTTTCTGCGACACTCAGCGACGTCAAGAAGGTGAATGTGTGTGGAGGGTTATTGAAAATACTGCAAATTGGAAAATGTGACGAAATTAAAGTGAGTACTGGAGCTGTTATTGAATTACTTAAGAAAACAAAACAAAATACAAATCTTATCACGGAAGGTAAAGTCGTGAAGGTAGAAATAATGGAAGATTAAATAATTGGTCGACTTAATTTGTTTTAAATAACAAAACGATTAGTATTTTATTTCGTGCAGATGAAAGATAAAATCAGTGACAAATTTTAAATGACTTATTTTTCTAAAAAATATAATATGTTTAATTCATTATTTAATTAAAATTTATTTAAATAATAAAAATTAATTAAAATTAATTTAAATTAATTAAAATTAATTAAAATATTAATAATATTTTTTATATTTTTATGAGTACCAATTTGTAAGTTATTTTATTGACAATAATAATTCGTTATATTTTAACCTTAGCAAGTCAACTGAATCAACTTATTTTGTGGGAAGGTGAAATCTGGATAAGATTTATCTAGATCATAATTTATTTTTGAAATAATTAAAAATAAATTTAAAACACGAAATCGATTAATTTTCGCGCAAACTACTGGTCTTTACAGACCCATGTTTCCATTTTCCATGTGTTCAAAATAGTCAATACTTGCTGTTACGAGACATACACATTAATTTTCATGAGAGCGCTTCGATTTTTATTGATTTTTCATTATTTAAATTGGTTTGTGACACGCCGTTCTTAATTTAAGATCTTTTTAGTTCAAATACAAAAATAAAAAAATTAAGTTATTTTTAGTAAAAAAGGATATACATTACCCAATTTTCACTTCGTAAGGTTATTTGAGTTCAAAATTCACTGTGATATTTATTTTCATAGTGATTTTCACACTTCATGATGATTATCCAATTTACTGTGATCGCCTTATGTCAAATTTGTTTGTTAAATTCGAATTGTTCATTTAAAATTTATTTTAATTTTTCATATTTATAATACCAATTTCATACAACAAAAATGACTCTGATATATTACTGTGTATAAAAACATATTTAATTTAAGTTTAACCAATAATAACATAAATAGTTTAAAATATTATTATTTATAGTTTTTTTTGAAAACAATCCACAGAAGGTTGTTTCGGTTAACTGTAATTATTTTAATTAATTTAACAATAAAACTATTAATAAAATGTAATTTATTTCGAAAAACTAAAAACATCTGATAATTTTAAAATCTATAATCAATAATAAATATATCTTAAATAGTAAATTTTTGATAAATTACTTTATTGATTCTCTGTATTTATTATAAAATATAATTTATATATAATTATTTTAATATTCAACTTTGAATGGATTTTAGTTACAATTAATTTTGTCGAAAACTATTAATATTGTAAATGTTATAATAAATTATAATATGAAAAACATTTTGAATGGGTGTTATAAAACGTGTTAATATTGAAATGTATAAACTTTAAATATATTTATAGCAATTCCTTTTTGTGTTTTCCCGTTAATTAATATTATTTGTACATAACATAAAATGCACATGTTCTACAAAAATCTAAAAATAATATATAATTATTAAATGTCAATTTATAAATAATAATTAAGTTAATGATTTAAAATACCCTACAAATTAATTGAAACAATAAAGAGAATTGTTGCTGTTGAAAATAACTTCTTATTGTTCATTATTTAAAAAACTGCAATAATAATAAATAAATACCAACCAATGACGAACCCCCTTTTTATCGTGTTTTCAATTATCCAAGTTTTTGTCTTTCTTTGTATTTCGCTTTTGTTGCTATCAAGTGTTAATTCGTTTGAATACACCAAGAACTATTCACAGTATATTCCCACTAAAAATTCGGTTCAATTAAATGACCCTCCACTCAATAATATAACTTTTATCCAACCTACTTATTACAATGATAAAATCAATGTTTTAAAATTTAATTACAATGGTCCGTGTAAAGAAACGTTCAAATACCGCGCACACAACAAAAGGGATTTATTTATTTCAGCTGTTGGCTTTACTAATGATGGCTATTGGCTTCAAAATAAGCACGATATCCTTCTAAGTTATGGGCTTGTTAACTCATCAATTCCCAATGCCACTCTTATCATGTTAATAATGCCTGGGACAACTAACAAAGACTTTATAAATGAGACTCGAAACTTTGGCTTTGAAGTAGTTGAAGGAGATCTGTCTAATGTTAAAAATGTAGAGAAGTGTCACCCTGCAACACAACGTTTTATTGCTTTTAAAAATTATATTGAGAAATATCGTGAACAATATGACCGTGTACTTATTGCCGATCACAGAGACGTCTTTGTCTTTGCAGACATCTTCCAGACGTTCTCTGCAGAAGATCTTGTCTTTATGCCCGAATGTGGATTAAACAATCAAACTTGTGTGTATTTCGATGAGAAGCATGTTTACCAGTGGATGAATGAATCATATGGCTCGCTTATTACAGAACAATTTAAAGCAAATGGATCAATTAATATGAATGTTGGTGTCACATTTGGAGGGACTGAAAGAGTGTTAAGATATTTGAATATTTTGGTCGACAATTTTAATCCAAAGAAATGGCACTTATGGGGGCACGACCAATCAGTCCTCAACTCGATATTTTATTCGTTGTATTATAAAAGGGAAAACTACACATTCGAAAGGTGTACACAAAGATCGTGTTTTTTCGATGAAAGCATTCAATATGATAAAAAGAATAAAATACTTATCGATCCACTCACAAAGTGTTCGCCTGTTCTTAGACATAAAGTGAATTTTATACCAAATAAAGTTTGGTGACATTTTATTAATTTTTTATATTTAAATCCAGTTCCTTTAATTATTGAGTTAAATAATATACAAAGTACTTGATTGTTCGATAAAAATGTTATTGAACCTTTATATTATTTAGAGAAATGACTTTTGTAATCATTAAATTACTTTACTATTAAAATTATAATTAATTGGCATGGTGTAATTAATTACTTTGTTAACTTTTAACTTATATATAAATTATTTATAATTCAGACACATATTGTATATAATGAGGTTGTTTCTATATTTCTAGATCATAATAATTAGAATGTGTCAAGAAACTGTTTAAAAAACTAAAAATTGACATTCCTTTTTTTCAATTTTTGAATTAAAAAAATTCTTAAATTTTTAATGGTGTGTTAAGTTATTATTTGCAAAATAAACACTGTTTATGAAAAATGACAACTTTAAAAAACTGAGCCAGTTTCATTTTTGATAGAAATAGTTAATAAGTAAGTTAAAGCATTTTCAGTAATTTAATTTAAACTTGTTTTTTTCGATAGACGTGACTTTATATTTACAAAAAGTAGTTTTAGAAAAAAAACATTATATTAGTTATATTTTTATTTTATTCCCCCTTTTTAAAAATAGAAAACTTGTGATGAACGCAAATCTCTGTGTAGTATTTTTATCTCTTCATTTTTATATTTATAAACAACAACCGATCAAACACTTAAAGAAAGCAGACTTTGATCATAATCTCTCCATTCATCCACTTCCCAAATGGGTCCTTGATGATTTTAATATTGAGTAAATTCCCTCCAAACCCGTCGAGTCGATAGATCTGGAAATTCTTTCTTTTTTCCTTCGCAAAGTCGAATTCCCTATACGACATTTCAAAGAACTTTTTGTCCTTAATTCTCGTCGTCTTCACTTCGATGTACGTTTCGATGGTTCCAAAATCGTTTAATATGACAATATCATACGGCAGACCCTTCTCTGTTCGTTCAACTCCCTCGCTTTTCTCGTTAATCCAATCAACTTTTTTCCCGTACTTCTCCTTCAAAAACTCGTACACTATTTGTTCCCCAACCAACCCCGTTTGTACAATAGTCGAAACACCGTTGATAAATTTAAATGGTGAAACTTCAATTTCAATGTCCTCATCTTTTACATGAGCAGGCGCCCGACCTTTTGTAACAACTTCCCAATTCACTCCAATCGCCTTTTTAGTTACAACTTGGCCGTCACTTTCAAGGTGAGGCGACTCACTTTGTCCTTCAGCCTTTGTGTTACTTGGTGGATCTTTTTCGGCCTCTTTTCCAGTTTGTTTTGAAATGTCCCGAGACTCAAATTGGATTGTGTCACTTTCAAACTTAATAGGATATCCCGTGCTCAATTTCTGTAACATTTCTGAGACAAACGACTCATCCACTTCTCTGAAAAAGAGTCTCGAAAGTGCAGCAAGTGCATTATACGAGCAAATTCCGGTCCTTTCAAGTACGTGCAACGAGACTCCTTGCACGATAGCTGACACCTCTGCGGTCGTCACTGTCATCGTCGGCACAAAAGTAAATTTTACATTCAAATTTTTATGAACAAACACCTGAAAATTATATAAAAACATTTCGTAGTTTTTTATTAATTTCGCCGTTTGAATCTTTGGAAGTACACTTTTGAGGACTCTCTTCAGTGCTGTAGTAAAATTCTCCGAACAGTTCAGACTACTTTCCACGTCAATGACAAGAACAGTGCTCGCACACTTAATGTTAAGGACTTCTAAGAACGAATTCACACGACATTTATCAGGAAGAGGCAGTGTGAACACATACTTCTCGACCTCCTCTGGCATATACTTAAGTAAATGACTGATGTTATTGTAATATACATTTGCGTCAAATTCAACACTCTCCCCTTTCATGTTTGTTATAATTTTCCTGTGCAGGAGACTTTTCACATTTTCATAACACAGGGGGGTCGTTTCTGATATCGTAACAATTTGTGACAACAAGTTTTTAAACATATCATTTCTCTCGTCGTGTGACACCCCTTTTGCTAAATCGTCAGTCAGACCTTTGCAGTGGTCATCAACAAAAACAATTGCGTCGACGTAGTCCTTCAGACTTGGCTTCGGTTTCACTCCAATTCCCAAAAATGCAGTTCTCCTCTTTTTTGGGACGTTCACTGTTGGGAAGAAATTTGCGTCGTCCTTCAAAAACGCAAATTTTGGTACAACCCATGTGGTCTCATTTGCAGTCGTAACACAAATCCCTGACATTCCCGTGACACAAGAGGACCTTGCCAATTTCGCTAACGAAGACGTTGAATTATTGATCAACACAATAGGTCGGGAGATGAACTCATTAAAGACATTTAATTGTGTTTGTGGGATCTCTAACAATGTGTTAATATATTGATGTGTTACTCGACTCGTGGTGTTCTGCATTCTCTCTACAACACCAGCAACACTCGGAAACGCCTTATAAGCAACATATTTCGCCAGTTTCTCAGACACGCACGCGCGTGTTGTTTCAACATCTACAAAATTCCCCATTTTAGAGTTCAACACATTTTCGGGCACCTCAAACGTGTTACTTTTCGTTGGAACGAATTTCGTGTTTTTCAAATCAAAATAAAACGTCGAAAACTCCTTCAACTTTTGGCTTTTCCCACACACTATTTCCTTCTTATGAAATGTCTCTATAAAAGCGTCTTCATTTAACATCAAAAACTCAAAAAACACGTTCAAAAACTTCGGCGCGTGTTCTTCCGCATTTTCACACAAAAGAGAAACCAATTCCGGATTGGTGTAATCGACAGTTTTGACAATTTCCCCGTCACGCGTTACCGTGTCAATGACAATTTCATTTGGTGGTGTAAACTCAAACGCAGACTCTTCAAACATGTCGCTCCTTATATAATTTATATCGGTAGTCTTCATCTCAACAACTCCACTGATCTCGTCCGATAAATCGAAGCTTTGGAGAAGTGGTGCAAAACAAGTCTTCATTTGCATTAAAATCTCCGTCTTGAGAAACGCGACGTTATTCCGCGAAAGCATCTCGAGGACCGCGACGGACACATTTAGCCCTTCGAGGAAGTTGAGAACGAAATTTCGAGAATTGATGACCTCAACAGGAAGTTGGTTCAGTATTTTACACGCAAAAAGTGCGCGCGAGATCACCGAATGTAACGCGTAAACAGACGACTTGGTCTTCTCAAAAGTCTCGAGGAGGTGTTGCGCGAAATTGCTAATAGAACATTTACTCAAGAAACTTGCGTTGTAATACAAAGCAACAAGAAGGCCGGAGAGATAATTAAGATCGTCGATATGTGACAGAATTTGTCCATTTATATTAGAAATGTCGATTTTGGGAAGTTTAAAGAGCTTTTTGTGGACTTTGAGAAAGTCAAAATTGTCGAGCGCGCGCGCGTCGATGACTCTTTGAAAGTCGACATTCTCAAATTGCTTCACACTATTTAAATTGACTAAATATTTCATCTCACAGACAATTTGTACAACTTTCTCAAGAGTTTCTGTCTCTTCAGAAATGATCTTCTCAACATCGTCATAACTTCGAATATTTTCAGAGTCGACAAGAATGTCAAGTTTCCGTGAAACAACTCCTTTCAAACAATCAAAATCAACGGACTTCCCACAGAAGCTCAAGAAGTCCCCATTTTGCAAAAGTTCAAATTTCTCAATTTTTAACTCGTCGCAAACGGCTTTTTCTATGTCGCCAATTTTCAGCAAAAATTCGTTGAAATTCAAAATTCGCATTTTTAAAAAAATCCGCTCGACAACTTTTGCGACGTTTTGTTCTTCTTTATCGTCCTCTTCCATCGCTTTTTTCTCGACTTTTTCATTTTTTTCGATTTTTTCCAAATTTTCGATTTTTTCTGTTTTTTTCAAATTTTTATTTTTTTCAACTTTTTCAGAACTTTTTGATTTTTCAATTTTTTGGCGTTTCGCTTTGTCGCATTGATTGACGATGTCTTTGACTCGATTCAACTTGAGTCCAATGACCTTTTTTGTCATAATTGATTTTTCAATTTCGGCAATGCCATTTTCCGATTTTATAACGTTGATTGCGTATGGATTACAAATTAAGTCTAATATGACCATTTCGTCTTGATTTGATATTTTGATTTGAGTCGTTTTATCATCAGAGATCACAAAAGTGGTGACAATGCAATTGATTCTTAAAATGGACTCAAGGCGCTGATCATTTCCTTTTAAGTGGTCCAGCCCAAAAAGGACTTTCCAGAAGTCGCTGGGTTCGGGAATGATTGAGTGGAATGCATGAGTGAGTAAACAGAAGTCGTTGCAGATTTGACAGCGTTGAGAGTCACTTTGACTTGTTTTCTTACGTGATGAGATGACGTGGGATTCATTTTGGATTTGTTTAAATATGATGTTACGTTGTTCTTCGTAATTTTTAACACTCGATAAATTTCCATTAATAGCATCTAGGGTTTCTTTTTGTTGTATTTTTTGGTTCAAATTAGGGCTGTAGTTTGGAAGAGGAAGATTTTGTGTTTGAACATTTTGGACTTGTTCATATGGAGGTGAACTTGGTTGTTGATACAAAGGAATTGGACTTGGGGTGTAATACACTGGGTAGTTTTGTTGAAGCGGTTGTTGTAAGGGTTGAGATAATGGTTGTGATAATGGAACATTTACTTCTGAAGTGTTTTGTTGGGAATAAGGACTTGAGGGGTAATTTCCAAACATCCGCAAAGCAGGGCGGTATGTTGGTAAGTTGCTCATATGAAGTGATTTATTCGTTTCATTTAAAATCCTTTGGGTGACTGTTCAAAATTAATACTTGTTTTTATATTTATTAATTATTAATTTAACATTTTGTTTTGTTTCTTTAAATGATTTAATTAACGAGCTGTTTATTTATTAAATGTATTATAATAATATTAATAATATCTATAGATTTTAATTATCAAATTTGTTAAAATGAAAATGATGTTAAAATTAAAAATGTGTTAATTTATGACAACCCTACTTTATTGTTTTTGTAATTATTTTAAAATATTTTTTAAATTTTAAATTTTAAATTTTAAATTTCAATTTATTATTAATAGTCAATAATTTTAATTGTTATTAAAAGAAAAACAATTAAGTTATACAGTTATGATAAAAACCAGTGAAACTTAAGGAAAAATGGGGTTATTGAGTTAAATAAATCTGAAAAAAAATAACATTATTTACAAAATGTTTTGAGATTAATAATAAAATTATTAAAAAACTTATAATAATTATTATATCTTTTATTGTTTTATTTATTATAAATAATAGGTAAATTAAAAACATAAAAGAAATAACAAAGCAATCCATTTACAAATTTAAAAAAACAACAGGATTATAATATTGTTAAACTCGGAACATTTGGAGGTTATTCAAAAATTGTTACTGACAGTAAAAGAGTGATTTTGAAATCAAAAGTCCTCAAAATAAAAGTACTGTTATGCGTATGTGTTTTTGAACAATTTGTAAATTATAAATTAATTAGAAAGGTCAGTAGGCATATGTGTGATTATTACGTAAAATAATTTCATTCAACTTGACGACTAAGGCTTTTGGTAAAGCTGGAATGATTTTGAAAAAATAAAAAAAATTAAATGACCCAATTTATTTTTCAAAAAACAGTTTTAGATGATAATAAAACTCGATGTGTGATAATAAACTGGATTTATTTAAACAAATAATTAATACTTTTTTGCCAAAAACTTTATATTGGTAAAGTTTTTAAGTCCATAAATTTGTTTTATTATTGAATCATTTTAAATATAAAAATTAAGACAAGATACAACGACACCTATGTTAAAAACAAAACAATTTTCAGTTTTTAAAACGTGTAGACAAGACATCGTCAAATATCAATTAATTAATTTGTATTTTGTTGTTTATAAATAAAGCACCAAAAAGTTGTGTCAAAAAACTGTTTTAAAACGTATAACAAATTTTTTTAAAAAATAGTTATCACAATTTGAAATTTAGTCTTTTATCTATTTTTTCTGTAAAAAAGACGAAACATTTAATATGCACATATTGAGGGAGTAATTTGACATAATATATTTAGTATTAAATCATATATGATATATTGTCACTTAATTTTTTAAAGTCTTAAATGATATACTCATTCAAAGAAAAGTTATTGCATATAAAAGTGGTGCGGAAGGCTGACTTTGTGACCTTCTACTCAGCAATTTTATCTTTATCAGTTGTGCAAAATTTTAATTGACTTTTTAAAAATTTTAAAATAAAACAAATAAGAAATAACACAATGGTTATAATTATCGCGACAGATCACAGTTTTTGATGGGAAACAACCATCACCAATTGATTTCACACTAGATGGTATTGTTACACTGCTCAGACAACTACATCCAATGAAACAATCAAAACCAAATGATTTCACACTCGGTGGTATTGATACACTGCTTAAATCACCACAATTAAAGAAACATTTATTACGAAGTTTTTTCACACGAGATGGTATTGTAATAGCGCTCAAATTAATACATTCTTCGAAACAACCATCTCCAAGTGATTTCACACTATTGGGTATTGTAATGCTTCTTAAATTAATACAATGACTGAAACAACCATCACCAATTGATGTTACGTTTGATGGTATAGTAATACGGCTTAGACTTATGCATTCATAGAAACAATAATTACCAATTGATGTTACACTCAATGGTATATTAACACGACTTAGTCTACCACAATTATAGAAACATTGATTCTGATATACTGACACACTTGAAGGTATCATAACACTCCTTAGATTTCCACAACAAAAGAAACAACCATCACCAATTGATGTTACGTTTGATGGTATAGTAATACCGCTCAATTTTTCACAACAACAAAAACAAATATCACCAAGTGATCTCACATTATATGGTATTGTAATACCCCTTAGATTTTTACAATTTTTAAAGCAGCCATTACCAATTAATGTTACACCAGATGGTATTGTAACATTGCTGAGATCACTACAATTATAAAAACATTTGATATTAATCGATCTCACATTTTGTGGTATGTCATTGCCAAATTTCTTTCTATCATGCTTCGTGTAAGCAATATTTTTAAAGTCAATGTTTAGACTTTTGTTTGTGTTAAAGGTATCAAAATCAACAGTAAACCACACAATAATTTGATAAAACTCTTTTTTTAAACATTTTTTATTTTTGTTGATATCTTTATGTTTATGAAACGTTTTTGATGAAGCAAATTCACCATATATTTTGAATGATTCAAGGTGATCACAGTCTTCAATGCTTTCACCTAATTCAGTGTTGTTTGGAAATTCATTGCCAAAATATTCATCCTCTTCTTCCCACAAATGAAGTGTTTCAATGTTTGGAAAATATCTAATTGTTTTGTAATTTAATGGAATCGGGTTGAAGTGGAACTTCTCCATGTTACCACCAAATTTCTTGCATACAAACTCCAATTTAATTAAGTCTCTGATAGTTTTGAAATACTTCGACACTATCATAACGTGATAACCAGAAAGTCTTGACATATAATTTCTTTTATTATTTTTATTGTTTAAATAGTACCAATTTTGTCTTTGTAAACAGTTTTAAGGAATTATTGATAAATTATATTTCATTGTTCCAAGCTATACAACATTATAATTAAAAATCATTTTTAAAATAATTGATTCAACATATTAAAAATTACAACATTAATTACATGTTAACAAATCGTTTCAATACATAACCATTAATAATATTTATTGTTTTTCATCAAAATAATTTTTAGATGATTGTTTTTATTCATATAAAAATAACAATAAAATTAAAATAATTTATTTTTAATGTATTATAATTTAAACAAAACCACAACATATTCAAAAAATTAAATATAAACCATTGTATATTATTATTAAACTCATTTATATTTATTGTATTGATACAACATATTTAGTTTTTGAACCATTTTATTACACTTTAGACATAAGTGTTATATTTGATTTATTATTAAATAGAAATGAAAATGCTGGGGAAGTTTGTTATAACAAATAATGAAAAACATATTTAATAATTTTGAATTCAACTTTTAAAATGATTATAAATTAAAATAAAGTAAAATAATATTATTATTATTGTTTTGTGTATAGTTTTTTCATATTACTCGGTTTGGTTCAAAAAACAAAATTTTCAGAAGACTCTCGTTTTTTCAAGATACTTGAATTAATTATTGCAATTCGTTTATTATAATAACCGAATTTGTAAAAAAAATAAAAAAGCAAAAAATTCTATTTACTAATCATTTTTTAGAGTGAAACTAACCAAAAAAATTCATTTTAAACTCGTTTTTTGTTTTATATGAAAAAATATGATTAAGTTTATGTTTGATTTTTTTCTGAGTCCAATAATTAAAAAAGACAAAAAACTTGTTTGAACTTTTTTGTGTATTTATTTCTTGTTATTTTAGTAAAATTATTTTAACAAAAATAAATAAAAATCACTGAGATATTTCAATTGATGTTATTTTGAATCCTTTGTTGAGTGTTTTATTAATATAGTTATTAGCTTACACGAATATAAGCATTGATCGTTCTGTTGCAACATTAAGTGACAATTTATCAACTTGGTTAACATAAATTTATAAAATACTCTTAATAATAAAATGTACACATACTTACGACAAACGAGAAATGTACATCTGTATATCATTTTTTATAAAGATATCAATTGTCGCAAAAATAATTAAGTATCTTTTCATTTTATTTAACACTTAAATATACTTAATTTGACATTGACTTAAAAATTACAGAAAAAACATTAATTGTTTTTTAAATTTTTAGTTTCAAAAAACAGTGTAGTCTTTTTCTTAATCAAAGACTGGAAAAGTGGTTCCTTTTATTTATTTTGGAATATATTTAAGAAAAAATTTATTTGGAAAATATTATTTTTTTTTCAAAAATTTCGAAAATAATATAGAGCGATCAAACGAGAACGTTTGTGTGATAAACTAACAATAATTTTTCTTTGTTTTAAAAAAAATATTTTCAATATACATTTATAATTTATTAAAATTTATAATTATTTACAATAAATAAATAAATTAAAAAAAGATTAGATGTTATTATGTTCAATTGTAAATTTTCAATTTATTTTATTGTATATTATTACATAAAAATATTATAACAATTTCATTTATTATAATTTTATATTTATAAAATATAATATCACTATTATAATTGATAGTTGTGGTATATGTTTATAACAATTTTATATTGTTTATATTTGTATTGATATTGAATATCTGTACAAATCAAAATGTCAAACAATTGAAGTAACATATTATAATCAAAATTTATATACAATACAAAACCAACAATTAAATTGACTGTTTTTATTAAAAAACACAATTTTTCAAAAAAAGGTTTGATAGTATTTTTAAGTTGTTGAAAAATATTATAGCATTATATTATTTGAATTAATATATTTGAATAATAATGTCTTGATTATGTATTGTTTCTTATGACATTTTTTTCTTGTACACAAGTATTACATTAAACTTTAATAAGTTTAAAATGATTGTTATGGTTCTAAAATATATTCGAAATATTATAAATTTTGCAAACATTAAAACAAATCAGCAAAATAAAATTTTATTAATTTTACAATATAAAAACAATCTATTTATATAATAATTATTTTTGCCTTCCATGAAAACTAATTTGTCCAGTGGACAAAAAATAGATACACTATTTTTTGGTGTATCTATCCAGTAAACAAATCTCATTCAGTCAGACGTTTTAAGTGTATGACTTATAACACAATAAATTAGTTATATATTGAAAATATATTGTTGTTATGTTTGATAATTATTTGAAGTTTTAAACATGAAAAACAAAGCAAAAGTCAATTATTGTCGATTTTTGATATTAAAATACATATTATGTTGTGTAAGTTTTAAGTTACGATTTATAATTAAACAACATATTATTAGACAAAATAAATAAAGTTAATTAAGGTATTTGGTCTTGTTGATCAAGTTAATATAAAAATAAATTGTTGTTTTTCGAACTGTTTTCAACGCCTTTTCTCTTGTAGTCTGTGTTGTTAACCATTGTGATGGTGTCATTCTTTCTTACAAAACTGGCTGAAAGGGGCATGTCACAATTAAAGACATCATTCCCATCAACTTCTTTAATAAAAGTTTTCGCGTCATTTTCTTCGAAATACTCCACATACAACATTTTGTCGTTGAACTTTGGGTTGATTTCCGAGAGGTTGAAATTTTTGATGTTTCCAAACGAATTGAAGTACTCGAAAAATTCCGAATTTGCAATTAAGTCGTGGTGGATGTTTTTTATTATCACTTCCAAACATTTCTCTGTCTCTGTCTCCTTTTTGTAATGTTTAATACTAAATTTCTCGGTGCCAATTTTTTCTTTGATTTCAGAATAGTTCTTGAAGACATTCTCGACATCTTCAGACGTGCTAAATTTGATGATGGAATAGACACCACATTTATTACAAATCAAATGAAATGATTTGATTTGAACATACTCACCCAAACAGACTTGAACGGACATATCTGTAGACTCGGGTTTCAGACCAAAAAAGGCGTAGGTATATTCTATTGAAGCAATCTCTTTTTTTGAAAGCTTCCAATATATTTGGATTGGCTCATTTTTAACTCTGTATGATGTTCTAGTCTGATAAATTCTGAGCGGAGTAAAGTGGTCATGAAAAACGATCGATATGGTTGAGCCTTTAAGTTCGATACTTTTAATTGAATTCACATCTTTTTGAAAGGTGTTTATAATATCGTTGTAACACACGTCGCTTGGAAGAGAGGAAAGAATAAGTGTACAGTTTGTTTGAAATGTATCAATAGTAGTCATAGTCATATGGATTGAATGTGGTGTTTTTATTTTGTTTAAATACAATTAATGTATTATTTTGTAAACTATATAATACTATAACACATAGTTATTATTGTTTTGAAATAATTCAATGTATTGTCTCATCAAATATAAATCTCATCAAAACATAATTATACTTTTATTATTATTCATAATAAAAATTATAATAAATATAATAATTACTTTTTATTAGTCTCATTTATTTAATTATAATAAAATTAAAAATAAATTATAAGTGAGATAAAACTCAAACAATGATTTTTTATTTGAAAACATCTCATTGACTTAAAACGATCACAGTAATTTTTATAATCATCATGAAGTGTGAAAATCACTATGAAAATAAATATCACAGTGAATTTTGAACTCTATTAATATGGTGATGATTTTAAAAATATAACAAAGAAAAAATTAATTTTACTATACACAATGTTGATTTTTATTAATAACCATATTTTTACTAATCAAAAAACAAACATATTTTTATTTATATAATTAATTATATATAGTATATATATAAACTGTTTTCCAAAAGTCGGTACCGAAATTACCCCAATATTTGCTAAATAAACAACCCATTTTTTTCTTTTCTTTTACCTCTGTTTTTTATTCATTTTTCTTCGTCTTATTTTTCAAATAACTGTCTTCCACTTTTATCTTTTCTCGAACAAACAAAATATTCGCATTATTTTTCCCTCCAAATTTCTAAATAACTTTCTTCAACGAAAAAAAGACTTGACAAAATAATCGATTTTGCCGAAAAGTTAGAAACATTAATTTTGAAACCCAAAACAATTTGAATAACAAAAAAAACTAAATAATCATGTCTAAACCAAGAAAAAGTTATGAACGCGAGCAAGAAGGGAAGAATGAGAGGGTCAAGGTGGCTTTGGAAAGAGGACTGTCATATCGCGAGATCCAACTGCTTTGTGGAGTTTCCAAAACAAAAATAGCTAGTATCAAAAGGGGAGAGGAGACAAAGCCAAAGAAGATGGGAAGACCAAAAAACATCAGTGTTAATGTTGCTCAAAGTGTTGTCACACGAACATTAACTAACCCATCTTCTTCTTGTCTTATGGTTTCCAACGATGTTAAAGTTTCTCTTTCAAGTGTCTATCGTCTTAGAAAAGAGAACAAATTTGTGTTTGCAAAGCAGAAAAAAATGCCGGCTCTGAAACCATTACACATAACAAAAAGACTTATTTTTGTTAAGAAACAGCTGGCAAACGCAAAGCGTATTTTGACGTGGACCAAAAACACTCTCATTTCCGACGAGAGTCGTTTTTGTTTATACTCTGACGGAAAATATGTTTGGAGAAGACGTGGAGATCTTGATAAGGAGGCGTTTGTGCCAACTCCCAAGTTCAATCGGGGTGTGATGGTGTGGGCAGCAATTGGGCGTCATTTCAAGTCAAAACTCGTTTTCGTCGACGGAACACTGAACGCGGTAAACTATCAAAAAATGTTGGCCGAATCAAGAGTGTTTGAAAACGCGAAGAAGGTGTACAAACACGGGATGGTGTTTCAACAAGATGGTGCAAGACCCCACACAGCGAAAAACACAATTGAATGGTTTGAAGGCTTGGACCCGAAGCTCATGGTTCTACTACTGAAAGAATGGCCTGCAAATAGCCCCGACCTCAGCCCAATTGAACACTTATGGCAATACTTGGACACCTTAGTAAGAAAAGAAAAGGAAATCTTCGAGAACATTGAAGAACTCAAAGAGGCTCTTGAAAGGGCTTGGGATTCAATACCTCTTGAGACAATTGATAACTACATAATGTCGATTCCAAAGAGGTTTGAATTGTGCAAGGAAAACAACGGCGAATTTATCGGACACTTGCTTTAATCCGTTATCAATTTTTTTATTTTTTTCTTTTTGAACTCGTTTTATCATTTCTTTGTTCGTCTTCAGAGGATGTTTGTTTGTTTTTTTATATGTATTCAAATTGTTTTCATTATTTTGACTCGAAAAGAAATAACTGTCTTAGAAAAATTGCAAAAGACTTCCCAACGTTTCGACAAATGCCCGAAAAATTACGAAAATAATATAATTTGTTTGTTTTTTAGGTCAAAAAAGTCGGTACCGTTTTTTTTAAAAAGATAAATAATAAAACAAAGTCTTTAATAACAATAAAACGGGAAAACAGCTAATAATAGTTTCTCAATTTTTAGCGGTAGTACTTACTTTTGAAATACAGTTTATAATCAAAATATATATATAATTTTGCAATCGAAAGATTATTTCTTATTTTAAAAAAATAAAGAAATGAAAGTAATTATTTTTACAAATATATATAAAACACATTGCGCTAATATTTTGTATTATTATATATAATATCGTAATGGTACACCATTCATAATCGTTTATTATATCATTTAAATTATTGATTATAACATGTTTATCACATTTATCAATTGTAACACCAACAATAAAAAAATCGCATCGTCAAAAACAATGTTTAATTGTGATCACAATTTGTTGTTTTTGCTATTCATATTAAATAAATTGATTGTTTGAATATTTGATCTAAATGAATTTTTATTGTAAGAGATTTTATTATAAAATATAATATAAACAAGTGATAGAGCTTGATACAACGATATAACATCAATTTATTAACGGTTATTAACATTTTTATATGTGAATTATTATTGAATTAAATAGTAAAAATATTCATTGATATTTTAAACAAATAATTTGAACAACAAATTGTGTTTGAATTATTCAACATGAAACATTGTAATATGAATGTTTTGAAAATTGTCAAACATTATTTTTAATATTTGTAATGTTAAAATTGTAAATTATTTACAAATCCTTGTATTGAGAATTACTTTATCAAAAATAACAATATAAAAAATATAAATATATTGCAATTATGAATTTAAACATTCAAAATATGTTTTTATATATTTTAATAAATCCAAATTAAATCGAAATGAAAATCGCTCAAACTGTTAGTATTGTAATATAACAAGCTTTAATAATCATTTTCTTGATTAAAACAACACAAGAATAATATAAACATAAATTTCAAGCAAAAAGAATTTGATTGAAAAAAATAATACTTATGTTATTTTTTGTATTAACCTTACAATTCTTTTATTTTCTTTTATAAAACATTTTTTTGGAAAAAAATGTTTTGTTAATGAAAACGCCAATACCGTTTGTGTTTTAATTAAAACATTTTTAAAAAATAAAGAAAAAAGGAAAACCTATAAATTATTGTTTGCGCGATTGTGAGGATGTAATTTCCCCGTCTGTGGGAGTCTGGGTAATCCGAGCCAAGGGAGGAAATAAAAAGTGGGTGAAATAGGTGCACTAACAAACTGTTTGAGTACGATGTCATGAGCCTTCTTTTCATAGTTACGTCTCACTTGGTTTTTATTGATTCAAAGGTGAAATAGTGACAATTCTTCATTATTTAATATTAATACCAAATATTTACTTAATTATTTAAATTGTAATTTACATATTATTTTGGATAAAAATAAGGTCAAATTAAAAATAATAACATAAAAACCATAATCAGTTGTAATGGTTTAAAAACACTGTTGTGTATTGCTAAAGAAAATCTTAACAAAACAAACAGTTGATGCATTGTTTACCAACTACATTCCAATGGTGTTGGTAAAACGTATTACATAATTGATTAATTTATTTTTGAGTTTTCGATAGGGATAAAGTAAACTGTTTTTCAAAACTCTGTACTGGGATGACCCAATTTATTGGACAAATAATTACTAAATTATTTTTTCTTTGCTTAACTCTCATTTTTTGTTCAAAATATTTACTCGTAAAAACAAAATAACAAACTTGATTTTTTTATATTTTACTTGACAAATAAATCTTGCACCCAAAATTTACTTGAAAAATATAAAAAACAAACTTGGGATTAAAATTTTAATTACCATAACACAAATTTTGCCCAAAAAAGAAAACACAATTTTTTAATTTAATATCTGTGTGTACAGAATAGCCAAGTTGTGTTTCATATAAAAATAAAAAGTATGAACGAGTAAAACCAGCATTTATAAAATCGTTTAAGACTTTACAATTGAAAAGTTTTATTTTTAATTTTTTAACTGTTTATTTCATTTAATACTGTAGTAATTAGCGAATTTGTTCGTTTTTAAATGTTTGTTGTTTTATGTATTCGATGCCTATTATTTAATTGTTAAAATAATTAGAAAATGGTTATTAGTTAAAGTATTATATCATTCAACGCAATTGTGTCGTCCGTCACATCGTTTGTTAATCATTATATTGTCGTTTATCTTATGTTTATCTGAAAGATGGAATTTTACTGACGTTTAGTAACAAAATAAACCACTGACCAAATAACGAACCTGGAAAATCGGGAAAGATTTGCCTAAATTTTGGGTGCTTTCCCGATTTTTTGTTCGATAATTGAAACTGTATTGATTTTTAAGGGTTTAAAATTGTGTACCGTTGTTGGTTCAACAAAAAGGAAAATAAATAAAACAAATAAAAAATAGTAAATAACGGGAAATTAGGA